CCACTGCCATGCCTATGTTCCGTTCTATGTTCTGGTGTTTGCCGCGTTGGCTGGCTTATGTCATGTTGTGTTGTTTTTGCCAATGCTCAGGTACGACCGCTGTTTCGATGTTTGGTACCGGCAGGGCTTTCTTCGGCATCAGCTCAACAACCCTTGCGACCCTGAGTTCGAGGACCTGATGACATGACTCATGTTAGGAGTTTGCAACTGTAAAATGGTGTCACTTGCCTTTTGCCCAGAGATCTTCCAAGCACTTCTCCCAAACTACGAGGCTTCCTCCTTGGCTTGTCTTTCGCTGCTAGCCTAGCACGGTGGGACATCCAAACTATAGCAAGCTCTCCAAGGCCGATTGTCTCCGAATCGGTCAGATTCCTTTATACTTGCTCAGCATATCCCTCCATGCCACGTGCTCCAGGATTATCGCGCATGCATCTTGGAAGAGCTTGCTGCTCGCGGTTTGCGATTGCCTGGAAGCCGCTAATGACATCGTGCGCGGGGGTGTGCAGGCTTCGCTGGGACTAGATGACATATTCTTGTTCATGAAATTGGGGATGGAGAGTGAAGAGGTACTGCACTGCAAAGAGCATTCAAGTTACAGAGGCATGCAAACCTCAGCTTACAGGGCTTGAGACGTTTGAGCGGCCATGGAGCTGGAGACAATGTCCTCAACATGTATATGCCATTCTACGAGAAGGTGACAAGATGTCTGCGCATTTTGTCACGGCCAATGTTGGGAAGCTCTGCTTCCAGAGGCTTGTTCTTGCTGTATTTGATTGAGCCGGGAAAGGCGTGCTCATGTCACTTCATTGGCTAGATCCCTTGCGCTAGGAAGCTGGCCAAGTCGCACTGAAATGCAGCCGCGGGCCAGCATCGCTGGAAGCCTTGTGCCGGCAGCTGTGGCTTCGTAAGCCTACCCGGCGTGGAGAAGCTGAGAGCCATGAACAGGTGGTGGAATCTGGCAGCGAAGCGGCCGTGCTGAGGAGCTCCCCATGTTCCTGGGCAGGCCCCGATCTGGAACTCAAGCTCAAGCAGGTCTACTTCCTGGCCTTCTTTTCTGGATTCGGCAACCAGCGATTAGAACCAGGGATCCCGGGCAAAATGTGCCTTCTTCAGCATGTGCATATCCGCATCAAGCTATAGGCATTCCCGTCCCCTCTTGTATGTGGTAGTGCTTCATGCAGAGCACTTCTGCAGCAATGCTCCCCAAGTTGAGGTAGTTCGCTGTAATACGCCTTCGTGCGCGCCTGACCCCCAGCAGTCCCGACTGCTAGATGCGCAAACACGCCCTTGTGATGATCGGCTTCAGCTAGCAAAATGCTAGAAGCACCGATGAAACAAAAGAGCTGACCTGACAGGGTGTGAGGGAAGATCACAGGTGGTTCTGCTCCTCAAACCCTGTCAACCGTACCAATTCTCAAACAACAAGTTTGGTACTGCAACATCTGAGCTACTGTGCATTGCCTGTCCTGGCCGTCACCACTGCCGGAGTGCTGTAACATGAAAGCTTGTTCTTGCCATGGCGCTCCTCGAGCTGCTGAGCCGCCTGCGGCAAGCAGCACGGGAGGAGGCACGGCATAGCAGCCTCCTGCTGATTGTGTACGTATGCAAGGGGACAAGTTGTGAAAACATGTGGTGCTACGTATCTCAATGTCCAGCACAGCACTTGACAGCTCTGCTGTGCAGCTCACCTTCATGATGATCTTCTTCTGTGTGAGTCTGATTGGTGTGCCTTGGCGTCAATTCTTACTAGTTACTAGGTGCGACAGAAGAACGCATGAATGAAACGTGGGGCTCCAGTCAGCTGCAACTTTGACAGCAGATGCACCGAATTCACCCGTGATGCCGAGGTCTTTGCCATACTGGTAGCTATCGTCTCGAAGGTCTTCGGCGTGGCTGCAGGTCATCAGATGGCAGCTGTTGTCAGCTGCAAAATTTGCCCGGTGGGTATATAATATGGGGAGTATGTAGGGCGAATAGAAGAGAAGATGGAAGCTACAATTTGGGGTTGTCAGTTTAGGGTAAAGTGGGAGCAGTTGTCTCGTGGTTCCCCTACTTCCGCGCAAAATCACATGATCCCAGGATGTCATAAGTTCCCTTTTCAGACACCCTCATGCATGAGCAGATCTCTAGACTGAAGCGTCAGGAGCAGGCATCATGGGGGCTACTGCCGCATTAGCAGTTCTCAACGTCCTTGGCCCAGCAGCATTGACAGCTTTTTGCGGTCTACGGGCCAGAGTTCATGCAGAGTTCCCCAAGGTTGAAGCAGAAGAGGATGCAGACCTCGCAATCGAAGCGAAGTCGCAGGAATGTGGCTTATGATACATCTGACGTCATTGTAGCCTTTACGAGGCAAAACACGTGCTGCTATGTGACGGGAAGTGTAGTCACCAGAAGATTTGCAGCATTTATGCCGTTACAGCTGCCGCTGCAGCAGCACAGGAGATTCTGCTAAGTTTCGCTGACCGCGCACAAAGGAGGCGGGGTTTTGGAATGCTAGGATGCCATGCTCGGTAGGGTGATCGTGCTCGATGCTTCCTTCCAATGCTTGAAGGCTACAGGCTTGTCATGTAATGCGTGCAGTTACAGCTTGCTAAGGCGCGAGTGGCTTCGCGAGCGTAGAGCGCAAAGAGAAGGCATCTCGGCTTTGTGCCCGCTTGCATTTGTGTGGCCTCTTGGAGTGATCTCGAAACAGGCTTCAAACAAGTCCTATACACATAGTGCAAACCATCCCGGTGAAACTGGTAAAGTTGGCCTGATGGCATCCATGTGCCTGCAGGTGCGGAGGAAGAGGAAGACGCTGAAAGCTCAGTGCCTGCCTCTCCAACCTCACCCACGCTGCATCCGGATGAAGAATCCGAGGCGCTAAAGAGGGATGAGGGGACGGGTCAACGGTTTGAGGATGCGAGGACTCGATTGGTGGCGGCCTGGTGGCGGTGGCGGTGGCGGGGCCCGTGTTGTTGGTGTAAGGGTGGGTTTTTTCTTGTCATTCTGGTTGCGGCTGCTGCCTTGAAGGCCCACGCAGACCTTAGTCATGAGAACTTGTTGGGTCGGGTATTGATGTTGCCGTCAAGTCACGGATCACGTTCTGAACTCATGGGTTGCGGCTGCTGGCACGCCTGGTAACCTACAGATCGCTGTTGATGTCGCAGCATCACAGATCCCGCTTTCACAGTAATTATGCATATCTATGCAGTCCTTGGCTGGAAACCACACATTTGCAGCGCCCAGCCCTTCTTCGATGACGGCAGCCCGTTGCCGTCGGACATCAGCAACCTCCGCGCCACACTGCAGGCTTGTTTGTGCGCGCATGCTTCTTCACATTGGTTCTTGAATGTGGAATATGGCAGTCTTTGTTGACATCGCACAGCCGATTGATGGCTGATTGCAACACAAGGGGATGGACGGGCTTAGGGCATCGCTATGACAGTTCTCCAGGCTTGCAGACTTCACCAAAGACATCAATGGCTCTTCAGAGTTACAGGGATAGGTAAGCTTTTGGCAGTGTGGAAAGGCTTCCTTACTCTTGCTGGAGCCCAACGGTGAATTGAAGATGAAGGTTTCAGTAGTTCCTCGAGAAGGGACCCGTTTTTTTCGGAATGGCATGCTGGACGCTTCGCTCGCACCCAACAAACCCATGATGTCTACAAACTTGCCAAGCTGCTGCAGCTGCCAACTTCGCCGTAAGCAACCTTTGTTTACTCAGGTATAATCTTTCCTGCAAAAGTATCAAAAGATTCCTGAAGCATGGCCTGCACTGCAAAAGTTGCAGTGAACATGGCCTGAGCCCGACTAGATGTCCGTGGGCAGCAATGCTGGCAGGCAAGATTGAAAGCCCTCCGAAACCTGGAGGACCCGATTCAGGGAGCATTCTTCCAAAAGTACGATTGCCAGGCAGACAAGTGCACGTCATGGCCTGAACAGCGCAAGAAGCAACCTCCAGGATGAAGCTGGATCCAGAGGAAAGTCATCCCTGGAGGCGCTTAGAGTTGTGGATGTTTCATAGCTTCCGGACACAGATGAGTGCAGAATACTTGCCTTGGAGAGGGATCCTTTGGAAGATGGCAGAGTCTCCCTGAAGGTCTTTTCAATTCTGCAGCTTTTTCAGAATTGAATACCCCATCAGCTAAACATGCCGTCAGAGTTCCAAGATGTGTCGCCAGAAGCTCCTGTCAGGCTGGACAAGACGTGGGTGAGGCCCCGTCGCTGCCTGTAGATGCGATATACTTAGCATACTTGGACAAGGTGTGACTGCAAGTGTCTTACACGCAGTGTTCCATCCACTCAGACTCAGGCGCGTTGGGCTTTTTCTTTTTAGCATGGGATCCTGCAAACATTGCTCCAGCTGCCAAGAAGGTAGACATTCCAGACCGAAGGTAGTCAGTCAGCTAATTCTGATCAGGTTTTATGGAGCGCTCCCGACTAATACAGTACGGGCCCCAAGTGAAGTTGAACACCAAAGGAATCCTTACACTGTTGCCCAGACACACATCCAACCATTCGAGTCGGGTGCTAAGACAATCATCTCAAAGCTGTTCAGGCAGCCATCTGCCAAGAGGCCGCAGAGGCCGCTGGCACCTTAGCAGGGCAGGGCTGTGGTCTGGGAGGGATAGTGGAAAAGAACATGGAAGCTACCATAGTAAGATAGGGTTATATAGGGTTTATATTGGGATAATGGATAATGGAAAATAAAATGGAAGCTACTATAGTATATTGGGGTTATTTTGGGATATTGGGGTAATATAGGGATCAATGAAGAGAAAATGGAAACTTATGGAGACTGTGTAAGTGTTGTAAACATGTTGCTGCGGGTGCTTACACGGTTGCACCTACTCAGCCTCAGAATGTTAAGACGGTTCCTGCTCCCGACCAGACAGGAAGACCCTGAGCAGAGCATGGCATTAGGTCCGGCGCAGCTTGTTGCTGCACTCGTTGCTTGACTTCTCTGCTCAAGCCAGGGCCTTCTGTACAGTTTAGGATCTCATGATATTTTGCCTAATTTCATGGGGACACTCAAGTCTCGGTTCCTGGTCAACAAACTGCTGGCCACTTGCGTCAAGAAGGCGAAGTGGGCCAAGGCAATCCGCGTACTCGGGGAGATGAAAGAGCTGCACATAGAGCCTGGCACAGTGGCAGTGAACACTGCGATGCGCGCCTGCGAGCAAGGGAGTATGTGGCAGCAGGCACTTCATATCTTTCACGAGGCCTCCCCTGGCAGTCCGCTTGATGTTGTGTCCTTCAGCACTGCTATAAATGCATGCGGGCGTGGAAGCCGCTGGGCAGATGCCTTGCATCTCCTTGAGCTACAAGACCTAGAAGCCTGTGGGCACAAAAGCAATCATGAAGAATTACCAGGATTCAGGGGTCAGCAGGTGGATATGGTGATGTGGAATTCTGCCATATCCGCCTGTGAGAAAGCTGCAGCATGGACTTGGGCCATGCATTTGCTGTGGTCGGCGTGCCATCCAATCACACCCGATGTGGTAACCTACAACTCGACAATCAGCAGCCTGTCGCGCGTGCGACGGTGGAACGACGCGCTGCAACTTTGCTCGGAGATGGAGCGCATCGAGATAAGCCCCGCTCCTTGAGCAAGAGAGCAGAGCTTTTTTTCAGGGTCAAGTGTTATTCTATATGAGCAATGGTCAATACTCGCGTATTAGCCACGAAGAGGGGGAATGCCGTGAGATGTAGGAATCGCGCAATGGGCAAAAAGCCCCAAAAGCGATAGGACCCCCCCAAATCAGAGACGCACGGAAGGGATCAAGTACATAGGATCATGGTAAAGCAGAATGGAGCAATATTTAGCAAAACTATGTTGCGCCGAATGTGTCTCGAAGTTTCGCAAAATTTTGCTATGATTTTCCATTCTCTTCTACCACAGCTGTTTGGGTAGTTTGTTAAGCAGAATTAAGCAACA